ACTTACATGACTAAGGAATAATTAAGACAATGATCTCTGCAGTCTGCATTGCTGCATTTAAGGACAAGTAACAAGGATTAAAACCTGCTTTTAAATAACAAGGATGAAAATGCATTTTTGATATTTTTTTAAGCTAATAACCAGCATTAAACCTTTAGAATCAGTTGGTGTTTGGGCAGGAAAGACCTCTCTCATTGCTTACACATTATAACTAATCTGTGACTGCAGCTAGTGAGCCTACTTTATACACCATATGCTAGAATCTGACACACACAAAAATGTTAAATTCTGAAAGATGTGGGATGGTCTAATTTAAAAAATGCTACTTAAAAGAGAGTTCTCCAGAAAGTTGGGATTTAGCTTTTCTGGCTCATTGTGCCCACCCTAGCAGCATAACAGCCCCATAAGCAGAATGGAGGGTGGAGGAAGGGTTAAAAAGGGCTCAAAGAACTCCTTACAGAAGTACAGAGTATTTGCAGAACTTGGTTATTACATCTGTGCTCTGCTGCCACAATATTGACACACATCAGCTTTGATTGTGTTTGGTTATCCCAGTGACAGGGCAGTGCTTACACTGGTTGATCAAATTCCTGGATTATATACTCCCTTGAAACAGAGCTTTTGGAGCACTTGACGTTCCTGCCCTGCCAGGGCGACCCTGGACACCTGCCAGCCTGAGCGAGAGTGAAGCTGTAACTCCTGGTGCCAGAGCTATGAAATATTCATTGCAGTGTTTGAGATGTAACAGCTTCTGGCCCAAAATGAGAGTGCCATAAACAGGCTGGTTCTCCCATAGCTGGGGAGTCAGGCAGTCAGCACTCTATAAATGCTCCTCCGATGGATCTGTTGTTTATTTTGACAAAGTAACAGATTGTATTTGCGCTGGGAAGGCAACCGGCAGATGGTCTTTGCACAACCTCGCGAGGGCAGGCCCCGCTCCTGCTGAGTGGGGAAAGCTCTTCAATCCGGTGCTGCGCGTTTTTCCCTCGCACAATGTTAGTTAGTAACAGTTCCTCCCTGTACAACCAGGGATAAATGGCCACAACACACAGCTACTGTGTCCAAAAAATAGGTCTTTTAGCTGCTGGTTCCAAAAGTGTGGTTACTGCAGAGCAGTTCACACGTGTGGTAACTCTGTCCAAATGCTGCCTTGGTCTGATCTGCTAAAAAATTCTTTATTCTAGTGTCACAAAGCAACTGAGAATATTCCAGAAACACTTGAAGCAAAAAAAATCCATATAATCCTGTTAATATTTAGGTTAGAGGCTGTATCCACTGCAGAAATAAGGAGGGGAAATTGAGTTTATGGGACTATTAAAAATCACAACAGTAGGAAAACTGGTCTATAACTGCAGACGTCTATGACTGGCTTAAAGATAAAAACTGTTATATTGTGAAAATCCTTTATGTCCTCTCTCACACTTCTCCAGAATTCCCGTTTCCTTATGGAGAATGTTGTTTATAAACAGAAAAATGTTGCTGTAAACAGAGTGAGTTGTCCTAATGTTGAAAGTTTGCCTCACATAAAGACTTTTTTTTTCCTTGAAAGGCCTCCCACACATTTGTGTTCTTATCACACAGCAACTATTTGATGTTAAACTGGGAATGTCTTCAAAAACTCGGGATGCTTATTTTGCCTCATCTCAAATTATTTTTGATTACAAAGCTATGTATCACATGCATGATTGTGAGGGTTATTGGATGCAACTATTTGTATCTGGAAATAAGACAAATGTAAATGCTTTACTTCCTTCTTCACATGGGTTTTATGTTGTCATTTATTTTTATGCTCAGTGCTTGAAAATCTTCTTCAGATTCCTCCTGCCCTCCCAGTATGGTTCAGTACACTGACAAGTCTTACAGGTATCTTTTTCCTTTGCTAAATTCCAAGCCTCAGCAGGGAAGATCCAGGTAAGACTTTCCATTACCTGTAAAATAAAAGTCACTCACAAATGTGAGGTTTTTCTCTTATGATTTCAAAGCACCTTGACCTTGTTTTCAAAAAGAAGTGGGGAATAGACTCCAAAGCATTAATCCACAGAAATGTGTTAAAGCTCTTACTCATTGCTTAAAAAGAGGCAAGATATTTTTATTTCCATTTTAATGACAGTCAAAATACAGTTGTGTGTATGAAATGCCTTACTCAAGGTCACAGAGTAGCCCAGGAAAACACAGGTCCTCACCTCATGCCCTTTTTCTTCAGGAGATGGTGCAATCCACAATTAATATAACCTGAGGGAATATTCCATTGCTCCTTTTCCCCACCAAATCCAATTCTATACAGACACAAAATTGTTTACTTTGGCAGAGCCAAAAACCAAACTCCAGCGAACCTGTATGATTTTTTTACAGCAACAAAGGGAAAGCTGAAACCATGGATGACTCTTTATCACTCTGTTGTTCCCAGACACCCTCCTGAAGTAACACCGTGGGTTGGAGTGCTCTGGGTTAATAATGTATCTCCTAGTGCATTACAGCAGCCCTCAAATGTCTTTATTGTGAAATTGGTGCAACGACACTAAGTATTTGTATAGGCATGATGATATAAACCCAGCTTCATATAACAATGTACCTGAGTTAGAGGTAACCTGCACTCTTCTGTCTGCACCATCCCGTGCTCACGGATTTGGCGCTGCCAAGGCTCGTAACACAATCGCTTATTGCGTCTCTCGGAGTTCAAGCTCCTGAATCCGTGTGACTGCGGGGAAGAAAAGCAAAGCCCTCAGCTTTCGTTCAGAAGGGAAGTTTGCAGCCCCCGTGGATGAGTTGGAAAGCCTGCGAGAGCCCAGAACGCCAGACGACACAAAGAGCCGCCGACACTCTTTGTTACGGCCGTTCCCAGCCAGCTCGGGGATGCTGGAATATTTGGGCTGGAGGCACCGTGGCGAGGCACGCAGGTCACCTTGCTAAAGGGACGGAGGGACGGGTGGCTCCCTGTAACAAAAAACAAGCGACTCGCGAGCTTTAGCCCAAGCTGGGGTTGCCTTGAAACCTCTCCCGTCTCCCAACTCCCCCACCCTGGGAAAGGATGGGAAGGCTTTCTGCCTTTATGCTCCCCACCGCCACAAGCCCACTGGGAGCGGGGCCGAGGGGACCCTTTCCCCGCTGGGCGAGGAGGGGGTTCCTGCCCCCGCTGCAGCCCTGGGGCCCGGGCAAGGAGGGCGGCAGCCGGCAGAGGGGGGTTGTTGCGGGCCCGGGCTGCAGTGACTCCTCCTAGAGGCGGTATGTGCGGAGCGGGAGGAAGCCCCTGCCGCCCCCCTCAGCAGCAGCCGCCATCGCCATCGGAACATACAATACGGGCAGAGCTGCCGAGGCGGAGCGAGGGCGGGGGGAGCCCGACAGGGAGAGTGGGGAGGGCAGGCGAGGGGGGGCAAGGAGAGGAGGAAAAGAGGGGGAGGAAAAAGAGGAAGGGAGAAGAAGAAGGAGGAGGAGGCGGCGACGGCGGCGGCAGGTGAGGGGAGCGGCGGCGCGGGGGCTCCGGGGGCCGCGGCGAGGCCGGCCCTGCTCCTCTCCTTCCCCCTCTGCCCGGCCGCACGACCCACCTCCTCCTCCTCCTCCTCTTCCTCCTTCTCTTCCCGCCGCCGCCGATGCCTTTCTTCGGGAAGGTCCGGCCGGGGCCGTGAGGGGAGGGGGGGGACGGCCGTGAGGGGGGCGGGGGTCGCGAGGCGGCGGCGCGCGGGGCCGGCCCCGGGGAGGGAGGGGGGGTGTGCGTGCGTGTGTGTGGGGGGGGGGGGGGGGGACGACGGGGGGGAGGCTCTTCCTCGCTCGCTGCCTCCTCTTCGCCCCCGCCGCGATTCCCGTGTCGAGGCCGCGCCGCCGCCGCCCCTCAGCGGGGCAGCGGGCGAAGCCTCGGCGGCGGCGGCGAACGCTGAGGGCGGGGAGGGGGCGTGGGGGGGGAGCGTTTGCGCGGGAAAGCCGCGGCCACACCCCCCGCACCACACCCCGCCGCGCTCCAGCGAGCCTGCGCGCCCGGGCGGCACCGCCCGCCCCCCGCCCGTCCATCAATCGGCTCGCGGCCAATCAGCGCGCTTTCCCCGCGGCCCGGGCTGCCGCAGCGGCCAATCAGCGCGGGGGTGGGCGGGGCGGTGGTGTCTGGGCAACGTCGAGGCGCGCGCGGAGCGGGCGGGCCCAGAGGGGCGCGGGGCGGGCTCTGAGGCGGGACGGGGCGTTCCCCTGGTTCGGCCGCGCTGAGCCGGCTCCGGACGCTCGGTCTGGGTCTCAGTAGCCGGGCCCATCCCCTCAGCCGCTGTGCTTTGTGAGGGGGAGCTGCCCAGGCAGGGCCCCCGGGGTTTGGGGTGCTCGGGAAGCTGCTTTCGCAGGAACGCGCTCTGTGCCTGGTCCTGGGGTCCGGGGGATACCTCGCCTGCCCGCTGCACAGCGCTGTGTTTGTGCCCTGCGTGTGCCTCACCGGGGGCATTCGCGTAACCAGCATCTGCTCTGGGGCTCCTGGATTATTTTTCACAAGTATCTTGTGTCTATATGAGTGTGCAGCCGAAGTTGGCCCGTGATAAAACGTTTGTGGGTTCCTTGTCAGCTCGTAACTGTTCTAGTAGATCTTTGGCTGGAGATGAGGACAGTGCAAGTGTGTTGATAGTCCCACGTGTCCTTTGTTTCAGTCTTTGCCTGCTGAGTTCGAGCTCTCTCGGTGTTTGGAAGTCAAGATGCTCCGAGGGCTGGAGCCCCTCTGCTCTGGAGCCAGGCTGGGAGAGATGGGGGTGTTCATCTGGAGAAGAGAAGGATCCAGGGAGACCTTATTGCAGCCTTCCAGTACTTGAATAAAAAAGAGAAAGGGAGACTTTTTACATGGGCAGGGCAAAGGGGAATGGTTTTAAACTAAAAGAGATTTACATTAGATATACGGAAGAAATTCTCCCCTGTGAGGGTGGGGAGGCCCTGGCACAAGTTGCCAAGAGAAGCTGTGGCTGCCCCATCCCTGGAAGTGTCCAAAGCCAGGTTGGACAGGGCTTGGAGCAACCTAGTCTAGTGGAAGATGTCCCTGCCCATGACAGGGGGTGGAATGAGATGATCTTTAAGGTTCCTTCCAATCCAAACCATTCTGTGATTCTAAGTACTGCCAGCCTGGTTCTGCAAACCACTCTGCTGTTCTGGGGTAACAGCTATTAAATAACAGCCAAATGTTTTCAATCCTTCTTGGGAAATCCCGTATCACCTGTGTAAAATCCATTTGTCTATTTAAAAACAAAAAGCAATTCCTCCTCCTCAGAATTTACTATTCTCCACCAGTGCTGCAAGAGTTTTGGAGCTATATTGTTCAAACTAATCTTTCTTTTACTGTTCTCTGTGGGTTTTCTTAGTGAAAAATTTAGATTTGGTGTCTCTTAGGCATTTTGTACAGCACTGAACTCTCTGATGTGAGTCCCTGCTTTCTGGCCCCATCTTGACACACTAATTTCTGAAATTGTTTTCTGGCCAAGTCCAGGTTTTTTTGAGGGTTTCATCTGTTTCTGTGTCAACAAGTTGTTCATATTTTCCAAAAAAAGTTATATGTGCTTTTCCTGCCCAAAGATGATTATGAGAGTTTGTTCTTCAGACTCTCAAACCTGTGTAGGACGGACAGAAATGTGGTTGTAAGGTGGCTGTGGTAAAGCTTGATCCACTGGGATGTGGTGTGAGATGCAGATGGCACAATGGTGAGAGGAATATCCCAGGGCAGTCTGTCATCTCAGTGTCCTTGTGGAGCAGTCCTCACCCTCTGCTGATAACTGTGGTGGGAGAAAAGAGGGTGGTCATGTCTGCAGAGGAGGGACCCTACAAGTGGCCAAAGCAGACCTACCTGAGAGAGGTGAGGAGGCAGAGCTCTCTCTCTCTCTCCAGCAGGCAAAAGGAAAATGTCACTGGTTGTCTGGGCTCTGAAGAAGGTAAAACTCAACAGATGAACGCCCAGCTTGCAGAAGTCTACCCTGTTTCCATCACAGAGAGCTCTGGGAGATGTGGTAGCTGCTCAATCCCCCATAGCAACACAGGGATGTTGGAGTCATGGCAGAGTAGGAGTGTGCTGTGACCAATTAAGGGATTGGGAAAATTAATCGCTTTAAATTGCCCAGGCCTCGTGATGTCATGGTAGCCAGATATAGACTCTTCCAGCTCAGCGAGGACGGACTTCGCACGAACGGCACAGGCGTATCTTTAAATGGAGGCTGTGCTTTGTGAGGACAAACGTAGAGATGATGAATCAGCCGGCACAGAGGGAATTCATGTGGGTAGACTCGAGAGCTTTTCAAATGAGAAGCCCTTGAGGCTTGGCTGTGTCATCAGAAGAGAATAATTAGGATGGCAGTGCCCAACTTGTAGCTCTTTACCTGTTGGTTGCAGTCCAGGTGAGTGCCCTACCTAACTGTGGCAGGGCTGAGCTCAGGGGCATCCTCCAGGGTGATGGTGCTGCAAAGGAAACCAAACCCTTGCCTGTGGGATTCCTTTGTCCAGGTCCACAGGAGCTGATGTGCACATTTCTTTGTCCAGGTCCACAGGAGCTGATGTGACTATGCCATAGCTTGGCTTTCTACCAAAAAATTGCCTCCTGTAGGATTCAAGACAAGACAAGAACACAGTGTTGTCTGTATTGCTCCTCAGTGTACCCTGATCCACGTTAAGTTGCAAAGGAGAGAGAGAGAGACAGTGCTAGCAGAGTTTTGAAACCTCTTTTGTATTTACAAATGTATCTCAAAAAGTCCCACAATCATAACCTGCTCTGTCACCTGCAGTGTATTTGGAAAAATATTTTGGGATTCCAAAAGTTGGCTTGGCAGCAGGGGGATAAAAATGACTGAGGCTTGCTGTGAGAGAGAAGGGGAAAATAAAGGAGTAGACTGGGTGGAATGTTCAGTGAGGCAATGGAAGAATGAGCCAGAAGTGAGTAATTAAACATAAATTTATATAACGCTACAGCATGCCCAGGGCAATGTGGTTAGTTATATACAAATATGTTTGGATTTTCTATCACAGAGATCAAGTACAACTATGGTATTTTCTGTGGGTGTAATCTCTTGATGTTTGCCTTTTCCCATTGATTTACAAGCAAGTGGGATTTGATACTATGGGAACAAACATATGAGGAGTGAGCTTAATATGATTTTGATACATGTAGTGTACTCTGCCAGCATGGCTCTCTGTAGGGATTTCAGTGCTGGACTGAAGCCTTGGGTGATGGAACCAGTTCCTGCCCTACTTGCATACACTTATTAAGTTCCACCTTAAAATGAGTTACTCTTGCTCATATTGTTCACAAGTGAAGGCTGTTCCAGAAATTGGCTCTTCTGATGGCTAAGAAACCTAATTCCCTACGTTTATTCAGTAGTTTGAGTGTCGGTCACCTTGAATGAAAAAGACACATTTTAAGGGTGGTTATTATTATGAAACTGAAAGTTTGTAAGGAGTTTGTCACAAATTGCAAGTTTCATTGAGGAAAGGACCTTGGGAGATCACCTCCAGTCCCAGGGCAGATCCAATGCTGTCCGGTGATTTCTGGCATTCATTCTGTAACTGTTTTAAAGTTGTGGGAAGGTTCTGCTGCCTCCTGTCTGACCGAGTCCGGTGCTCTGCTCCCCCCCTGCTACACAGCTTCTGTGAGAGCCACTGCTGTAGGGAACACTCACTCTCTCCACCTTCGCAGCATCCTCTTACATCTCTGAAGCAATCTCTAAACTGGTCATGTCTCCCCACTCCCCTTTCTACCTTCCCTTTGAGCTCTGTTACCACCACTCATGATTCCAGGCTGGCAGTCAGCAGTGAGCTTGGAGTGGGATGATCAGCAACAGCAATTTTGACGTGTCCCTGTCTGATAGGTTTACTGCTTTAATCTTTCCCAACTTTTCTTATCATGCCCCCGTAATGTGTTGCACACAGAATAAAAAAATTGGCCGATACACAAGGACATGCCAGGGTTTTATAGATCCCTGCTGATATTTTTTTCCTTGACGCCATAAACGAAACCAGCGTTCAAGTTGGGTTATTGTAGAAACTGCCCCTTGGCTTTGGCTGTTATGGATGAGATGGTTTCTGGGAACGCCTGGCTTTGTATGGGCAGATTACTCTCTTTGTACATGCACTTCATTTATAATAATCAGTATAAGATTGAAACAGGTTTCTGTGCCCTGCTTGGGTGAATGTTGATTGTTCCCGAGGGCTTGCAGTGGTGTCAAATGAAATATATTTTTATTTTTCCGGAAGGCTGTTTAAAATGAAGATTGTGATAAAGTTTAACAATATCACCTAAATTCATTTATTCCCCCCCCCCCAAAATTATCTCCCTCCTTGTGTTTCCTCATTTCACTGGGGTGAATGAATACTGGGAATGAAGTAGCTGTGCCTTCACTGACAGAAATACCACCTGTGGCAGACCTGCTCTTCGTTGGCTTCAGAGGAGTAACCAGGCTGGTAATTGGGCCTCCAGGGCAGCTGTCAAAATGGAGTTAAAACCAGGTTTTGTAAACAGAGCTAAAATATCCCCATTATTTGGCTGAGAACTAGGGGTGTAATAGGACCACTCGCATCCTTTGGAGTGGAGCGGCAGATTCCAGGGTTTGTTACCTGTTTGCCTGTGATCTCGTGAAAAATACGGAGAAAATGAGGTTTGTTTTCTTTGTTGCTGATATTGCTTTCCTGACAGCGCAGTTCAAAAGCAAAGTTACAGCAAATATCCCAGTTATCCAACTTTTGATGAATAACGCCTCAGGTATTGAGGGCGGGCTTGGATTTTTTTTCCTCCTGGAACAACAACAACAACAACAATGCATGAAGATGTTTCCCACGCGCTGAACACCAACCCTGTTTGCCTTCTCTTGCAGCTTGTGGATTTGGAGCAAGGCGTTCGGAGTCACCAGGGGGGTGAGAAGCACAGGGCTGCGAGATGTCGGGCCGGAGCGGGAAGAAGAAAATGTCCAAACTGTCCCGCTCGAGCAGGGCTGGTGTCATTTTCCCCGTGGGGAGGATGATGCGCTACCTGAAGAAAGGGACGTACAAGTACCGGATCGGTGTGGGAGCGCCCGTGTACATGGCAGCTGTCATAGAGTACCTCGCAGGTAAACCAAGAACCTGGGCCTGCAGCTGCTGAGCACGCACGGGAGCCAGGCATGGCCAAGGGATGGGGCAGGAGCGTGTGGAGCACTTCTGAAAATCAGGCTCTGCCGGTGCAGCACTTGTTGATGTTTGCTAAAAATGCTGAGGAGGTTGACTTGTTTCTTGAAGAGACCAAGGGTGGAAGTTTTCTCCTATGGAGGCACCAGATGGACAGGATAATAACTGATATTATATTATTATGTTAAGCTTTTGACACACCTAAATGTGACCAGTGACAGGACCTGAGGGAGTGGCCTGAAGTTGTGCCAGAGGGGATTTAGGTTGGATATTGGAACAAGGTTCTTCCCCCGGAGGGTGGTTGGGCTCCCCAGGCAGGGGTCACAGCACCAAGGCTGGCAGAGCTCAAGGAGTGTTTGAATGATCCTCTCAGGCCCGTGGTGTGACTCTTGGGGATGGTCCTGTGCAGGGCCAGGAGCTGGACTCGATGATCCTTATGGGTCCCTTCCAGCTCAGCAGATTCTGTGATTCTGTGAATAACAGGAGAAAAAAAGTAAACCTACCTTGTACATCTTTTGTGCTTTTCAAGTGAGCAAACTGTTTTGCTGGCTGTGTTTCTCCTTGCAGGACAGTGTCAAAAGTGTTATGAAATATAAAGGTTGTTCTTTTGTATTTTAAAAACACTTTTGCTTTGCCTAAGCGTGTAAAGAATGTGCTTCGGGGTTTAAATCTTCCCACGTACCCCAAGTTTTCTTTTTCCTTCCTTTCTGAAACTGAACTCAGAGGAAGGGGCAGGTGTCACGTGGTGATACAATATCCTGTGATTCTGTACAGTAATGTTTCGGAGAGTCCTGTGGTCACATCTGCTCAGTTTCTTATTTAATTATGGAAAATAACACTTTAGGAAATTGTTAGAACTCACGGTGCAGAGAGGATTCTGGTTCAGGTTACTCAGGTGTTACAGATCAAGACTGAGGTGCATTAGAGAATCAGTGAGGAGTCACAGCCTGGATGGAATTAGTTGAGTGGATTGTGTTTCAGGAGCATAGTTTATTGCCAAAGTGGCAGGAAGAAGCTTGCATGGAGCCTTGGTGTCCATGTAAAAGCATGCCAGGCTTTACATAAACATCTCTGTCTTTTTTACATATGAAAGCCTGTTCTCACTACCAGGCAATAAAAGCACTATTTTCTTTCAAAGGTGTGGAGAAAATATAAAATCTCACTATTAAATTTCACTAATTTCATCATTAAAATTAAATTTCTGATGATGCCTAATAGCATATTACAGAAACTTCCATGTTTGTGCTGGTACATTGCAGGATGAGAGTTGACTTTTTTTGTTGTTTTCTGAGGCTACTTCTGGAGCTGGAGTGACAAAGTATTGCTTGTGTTGAAGAAATCACACTAACTTTTATAACATAATGTGCTGCACTGTGACTCTGCTGACCCTCTGTCTGGGGAGGAATATGTCTTTTCCCACTCCACATGGATCCAGAGCATTCAAAGGAGCTTCTAGGAGAAACATTTGGAGATGCTTGTTCTGAACTGTGGCAATTATTACAAGGTGCAGTAATAAATTGTCAGCAGCACATCTGGTGTGTGCAGCCTTTCGGTAGTGCAGACTGAGTTATGGTCAGCACTGTTGACCTATTACCTGAACTAGAACAATGTATATCTTGGCTCTGCTCCTGGCTAGTAAATGCAGTTTAATTTGGGTCATTAATATTATATGGACAGATTACGTGTGGGCCTACTCTTTGTTTTAGAAAAAAAAAGAATGTGTAGTGAACCGGGCAAGAAAATTGCTAGAGGTGTGGGCTGGGAGCCCACATAAATTGTAAAGGAATGCTATTTTAAGCTGCTTGGTTGAGCAGAGAACCCAAGCCTGCATATATTGTCATAGAATGGAGTAATGTTTCTGAGCAAACACCTATTGCTGGTGGATAGTGGCCTTTCCAAAACAAAGTTTCTGTGCTCTGTCCAGAGTTTTGTTTGGAAATACTACAAAGGTGGAGAGTTCGATTAAAAAAGCAGTGTTGCAACATCTAACCCTGCTGATCTAGTTATTACTAATACTTTGTGTGAGTAAAGTCTTTGGTTTTGGTAAGCCTGTAGAAACAAAATGTGTTTTTCCAAGGCTGTTGTTAAAGGGGGTATTACATGTCAAACTGGCAAATTTTCTTAACATTATCTGATGCTTCCTGTTACAAATGCCATTCTTTTCTCGTGGACTTGCATTTAGGAAATGCTGGTTACTCAGGATGAAAGGCTGCATGCAGGGGAACTGCTTCAGGCTAAATCTGAGACGGTGGCAATAAGGGAGTCTGGCTTTTTAGCTGTTTCACAGAAGCAGGTCAAACCATATATTTTTGTTGTGTTAAGGCATTCATGAGAACTTCTCTAAATCCCCGAGTGCTTCTCTGCATTTGAGCAGAGATTTGATGCTTTACAAAAGGGGAAGGGTGGTCTCTATGCCTTTCATTTAAATCTCTCTATGCTGTTTTATATCTTAGGCTGCAAAATCATATTGCAAAACTGCAGCTTAATTCCTGTCTAGAAAGTTTTGTTTGCTGGAACAGCGTTGGGCTCCACTGGCTTCAGAGTTAAAGCTCTGGAAAATTGGACTCGGTCCCATTGGATTTATGGAGTCTGCAGCAGACTCATGCTCTGAGTGTGCACGGGGCTGACTGCAGTCACAGTCATCTAAATCAAACATCAGCTGCACGTGTCCCACAGTGCACCTTCCCAAAAAGCAGGCAGAGAATGCAAATGCCCCTTGATTAGGAGGCAGAAGTCATGTGAAGGGGGTGCTGCTCAGAGGAACTCATGGAAGATGCCAATGGAAAGCCATCCCCTCTAAATTAGGGCAGAACACATCACCAGGAAAGGCTTCTTCCTTCACAGAAATCACCTGGCATGATCTGCCTCACACAACTTATCCTAAAGGGGAGGTGGAAAACAAGATAAATAACCTGTATGAAATCTTTCCAGTTTGCTGTCAGTAATTCTCATAGACCTTTCTTATCAGTCCAGCTTCACAGAAACAGGCTGAGCTCAGCTGAACAAATACCTTTGGCCTGGCTAGGAGGCTTTTACTTCACAGACACTCCAAATGTGTTGATCCATCAGCCAGAGAAACCTCTTTTTTCTGGTATGCCACAGGATGAGGAGATGTAATCCCATTCAGGTCATGGCTTGGCTGCCGCTCGTGTCGGCTGGAAGGGAGTTATATTCTTCCCTGGTCCGAGTGCTTATCAAACAAGAGAAAAGGCTCCTTTGAAGATACTTTAAAAAGAAGTGTTGGGTAGAGCCAGTGGAGAGTCCTGGGCACTGCTCTGTAGCCCAGCATTCCATGTGTGCCAGAGTCCCTCAAGGAGCTGGTTTGCTTGTAGCCCCCTGTGCTGAAGATGTCTGGACTTGAAGTTACACTTCTGGTGTGGAGGCATCTTTGTGGGTTTTGAATCCTGAGGGAAGCAAGGTTGTTTCAGATTTCGCTTTAATTCTTACTGCCTGCTGCTGAGAGCACATAAAGTAAAACCAACTTATGGCTGAGAATATCAAGATGCCCGATTCCCAGAGAGCTTGCTGTAGTACATGCTTTTGTTATAGGACCTATATTCTCGGACTAGTCTTAGAATTTAGGTAACCTCAGCTGTTAAGATGTTTCTGCTTGAAATGTAAAGCACTTTCTTTACGAATCTGTTATTATCAGCAGAGGATGTGACAACTGATGCCTCTAGTTTTGATGTGTATTTTGCAAGTGCCATTTTATATTATTAAGACTATGAGTCCCTGCCTCTACCATTAGAAAAATATGCATATAAACCACCATTAGAAGGAGGTAAGGTGATTATTTACCTATGCAGATATTTGGCATCCTTTGGGAAGTTGTATATACATTTTCCACAGTCTGCCATACATCACCTCTGCCTCGGATTCCCTTCTTCCCAGTGTCCTGTGGTGGATGGCTGGCATTTGAGTGTTCTGCCTTTTTTGCTCTTGACATTAGGCAGAGGACATTTGGGTGCACCATCAGGATGCTGCTGGCCAAAGGACCCAAACCTGGGGGAGTGGGGTGAGCACACAGGTAGCAGGATGTGCCTGTTGTTGGCACACCTGAAAGAACTTCAGTTACCATTCAGGTAAGTATGTGTTGCTTTTTTGGATTTTTGGTTTTTTCCCCCCCTGATGCAATTTTCCTCTGCTATCAGCACACATCTGCAAAACCCACTGGAGAAGCCTGGGTCTCTTTTCTTGCTCTCTGCTGGTCTGCACAATGGATGGAATCTGTTCCTGCTGTCTGCTGCTGCCTTAGCTCCACTGGCAGAGGCCTGGGAGAGGGTCTGAAACTTTCAGCCCCGTGGGGGTGAATATAGCTGGATTATGCAGAATTTCTTTTCAGTCTCTGTTAAAATCCAGGACAGACTCTAGGAAATGCTAGAGCTGAGAGGTTCCTCCCCTAACTCCTACAGTTCACTGTGAATATGCACATAAATTTCAAAAGATAGGCTTTTACATCTCCAGCATTCATTTAAATATGTTCACTGTGTACTAGTGAAAACTGGAAGACAAATGTGTACTTTTGTTATTCTTACTGAGTGATATTGAAAACTTGTATTTTTCCCAAGAGCCGAGAGCTAAGCCTCATGTTGAAATCATCTGGATTTTAGCCAGACAGCATTATGTACGTTTCCACTAAATTCTTCATGAAAGTTCTTCTTCTTATAATAGTTACAGTTCTTTATTTAGGAGTAAGGTATCATTAGGACACTGATGGTCTGTAGTTTTCATACCCCTGTATGAAATGCAAAACACAAACAAATGCAAACAACAAACCCCAAACCCAAAAGACAGGGACACTGTATGCTTTTAAAATGAAACAAAGTTTGAATGTGATTTTTGTGATTATTTGGAGGGGAGGGGGGAAAAAATCCCTTCTTCCTTCCCAGTGTTTCAGTAGAGTTCTTACCTGAGAAATAACTTCTGAGTAGGGGCCAAACTTTGTAAGTTAATGAATTCTAATGATTGTTTACTGCAGTCCAAATAAGCTTAGAAAGATGTGTCTATATTTCCTCCATAACACTTAGGAGAAGCTCGGTGACTTTGGTTGCAATATAAATGTTACTGATAATTTAGAGAAACTACTTCTGAAGTGACCTCCGGTTCCCAGAGATGCAGAAGGAACCTTCTGTCAATATTTCGTGCACTGAAGCTCTTACGTTGTCTCTGCTTGCACCTAAGGCAAACCTCTCATATCTTGATCTGAAATGAAGCTTCTCACAGATTTTCAGTGCCCTTTTATTCCAGCAGTGCCTGGCTAGTGTGCTGGCTTTCCAAGTATTTCTTCAAATGCACCTCAGTCTTCATCTTACCTAGTCCTGAGAATCCTTGCTGTTTGGCAGAGCTGTCTGTGCCAGGTTTGGGGTTTCACTGCATGCTTGACTGTTTGTTGTTACGGTGCTACTGCTAAATTTTGGACTGCTAATGTACATTTTTATAGGGTAGTTCTTTTGTCTTTTTGAAAGAATTATGACTTGGGGCTTGTAAAAGAAATGACGTGAACCGAGCTTAGCACGTTTTCTGCTAGCTCTCCTTTAGGGGGTACTGGGAAGGACAAATTAATTGACCTAAATTTACAAATACATTGAGTGGGATTTGGTTTCTGCCTTTCTGTAGCAAAGACCCTTTAAATCTGGAAACGTCCCGAGAAGGTAAATGGATATTAAGAAGGAATGTAAAGCGTGACTGCAGCGTGTACCCGAGGTGCATTTTTGTTGCTCATTTTTATCTCGCTGTGTTGCAGCTGAAATTCTAGAGCTGGCGGGAAACGCGGCGCGGGACAACAAGAAAGGGAGAATTGCCCCCAGACACATCCTCCTGGCAGTTGCAAATGATGAGGAACTGAATCAGGTACCTGTTCACTTTTTAATGCAGGAGTCACGTGCTGTGGCATAGGGGAAGGCTGGAAACAGTTTATTCTGAGACATGAAAATGGTTGTCAGAGCAGAAGGCAAGACCGTGCCCTCTTAAATAAAAGCAAACAAAACCAAAGGTTCTGAGATACCTTATCTTAAATCTTATGGACATAAATTTTGCTTCTTTTGTAGCCTGTGGGTCCTGTTGAAGTGTGTAGGCTTGATGCTTCATTCTTCTCAGGGACATGCAACACTTGAAGAAAATGTACTTTATGCAAGACCTTTTCCCAAAAAGCTTAGAAATGTGTGTTTTCCATTATACTGGCTGTGAGGCCCGTCTTGGGTAGGGATCTGGCTCACTCTGTTGCTGCCTCCCCACCCATTTGCCCATTAGCTGTGGTTTGCAGTGCTCTGACTCTCAGGATCACGTGTGGGTTCACTTCTGCTAAACTTGGTGAGTGAGGACAGAAATCATTAGGATGGCCTGTAAATCGTACTATTCAGGGATGCCAAAAAGGTTCAGGCAGCATCAGAGTATCTCTTCTTGGTGGGCCCCATGTTAAGATGGATGACATCATTCACACTTTGAATACTCCTGCACTTAATTTGTCTGCTTTAAATAATGAAAATGTGGTGCCCATGAAGTCATGTGACTCTGTTTCTACTCAAGCAGACTGAAAAGTCAAAGCAGAGGCCAGGAGAGAAGGAAAGTCATGCTAACACTACCAGCCCTTTCCCAGCTCTGTGGTTCTGGCCGGTGACCTGTGAACTGGGATCTATAGAGATCCAGTGTTGTCTGTTAGGAATTAGCCAGACATTGTCCTCCACATAATATCACAGCCCACTCCTGTTGTTTGTCTCTGCAGAGCAGGTCCTTGGGGCTCTTCCTTGCTTTGTCACTGCATGTTTCCCTGCCAAAGGGGTCTGCATCCAGTCCTTTGAGCAGGGCTGTGGGACAGGCACTTTTCTTATTTTACCCACACTCAGTGTTTCTGAGCCACCAAGGACAAGTTTGCACAAGGATCACTGCACTGGAAGAGACAAGAGTGATTGTACAGCAGCAGAGTTCCCAGGATGTGCTGGCTGACTTTGCTGTCACCTGCCAAGTTCCTTTGTATTGTGGATTTTCTCCCTAACAGTTTTTTGGTGGTGCGGGCTAAGAGGATCTGTAATATGCTTCTCTACACTGCTTCTCCTGGCAGTTGCTAAAAGGTGTGACTATTGCAAGTGGGGGTGTCCTGCCCAGAATTCAGCCTGAGCTTCTGGCCAAGAAACGGGGTGCCAAAGGCAAGTCTGAGACCATCCTTTCCCCTGCTCCCGAGAAGAAGGGGAGGAAATCCGTGGTGAACAAAAAGAGTGGGAAGAAGGCAAAGTCTCCCAAGGCCCGGACATCCAAAAAGGTAAGCACAAGGCAGGTGCACATTCCATGCTGCCCTTTGCACTACTTTCTTGATAACTGTGTGGAATCTCTTTACCTCCACATTAACTGTGTGGCAGTGAGCTCTTGCTTTTAAACATCGTGTACTGGAGGGATGTCTTGCCTTCAGCCTTGTGCAGTTACTGAATTGCTGTTAGAGATTTTCCTAACTGCCCAGAGAACTTGTCCTGACGTGGTATGGCAGTGCCGTTGTGACAAGCTCTTTGTTCCACGTGTTCTTAGCTGTGCTGTTGTTAGTGGTTTTTAAAAGAAGAATAAATGAATCAGAACTTGAGCACTGCACCTTCCCTCGTGGTTGCCCTTCCTCTGTCACTATCCAAAATGGTTTAATTTGGTAAAGCAGTAACCCAGATCAGTGCTCTTGGTTTGTCCTTCCAGAGCATGCACCTTAAAATGCTGCTAGGTTTTGTTTGGGTAGGATTGGATGATATTAAGCTTTGACTTAAGCTTTTTAAACTTGCATTAAGCACATTTTTCTAGAGGCCTTTAAGCTTTGATAGAGTTCCGTAGCTGAGGATATGCAGAGACAACTTTTGAAAAGAAAACAGGAGTTGTTTAGTAGGATGTTTATTAGGAAGCCTCTGTGTATTGATCTCAGCCACCACCTTACTTTGAATTGTGCACATCAGAGTTTGAACTTGTTAGGAAGAGTTAGCTTCTTGACATACCCTAAAGCAAATGTTGAAAGATGTGAGGAGATGCTCCTGCAGCCCTCTAGGGCTGGTGTGTTTGCTGCTCCTAGAGCTAAGCAGCAAGAAGGATTTATGATTTATTAACTGAGACTTAACAGGGTTTTTTTTCAGATCACAAAGTTGTTTTTTCTTCAGATTGGGATATTTGACTGGGTTACTAAGTTACTAAATCTGATTTATTGTGAGCTCTGCTCTGTTAGCAACAAAAATAAACTAGCACACACCCACCCATAAATACAACTTTAATTGTTAGTGAAACCACAGATGGCTGTGGGTGCCCCGAATCTGAATGTAACCACAGATGTATATAATACCTCAGATGAACCACTGATGTTTAGCATTATATAAACAGAGCAGACCTCTGTTGTTATATAATCTTTGGGGATTAGAAGGCTACAAGTAATATATTGATCTGAGAAGATTAGATTTATAGTAACTGATTAAATCTATCCATTATTCAATAATGGTATATGTTGATTTTTTTTTCTCCCTTTTGAGAGTCCTTGCTTCCTTGCTTTTTTTCTCCCCTCAAATAGAACAAGCAAAAAGACAATGAAAAAGAAGGAGCTTCGAACTCAACATCTGAGGATGGACCTGGGGATGGTTTCACTATCTTGTCCTCCAAGAGCCTTGTGCCAGGACAAAAGGTAATACGAAGTCAGAACGGATTGGGATCACAGCAGTGGGGCCTGGCATTAACAAAAGGATGAGTTTGATCCAACAGCACTGCAAAATCTCTGTGTTCTGCCTTAGTGGTTCCAAATTTAAGGCCAAAACTCGCTCCAGTCATTGGCAAGGTCTCAAAAGTATGTCTGCAGATAAAAGATTTCCAAGAACAATGTTGGTGAGCCCCTCTGCAGAGATCCACACTGAGTCATTTCTTGGCCTAAGCACGACTGGGGTTTTGATCGGTTTGGCTTTGTCTGTGTTGTGCTGACATACTGCCAAACCAGGTTTAAACTTCTAGGCTATTTATTGTTTCTCAAAGAGTATTTCTGGGCCAGGTCCCAGGATCACCCAGAGCTTGTTGGTTTGTGCCAGAAGCCCGGGTGCTCCATCTGAAAGTGGGCTGTGGGACTCTGCTTTGTCAGTGTTCCAACTGAGGACCTCACCAGAGCTGCAGAACGTTCCTACTGCTCCATCTCAGCACAGGCTGTGGCGTCTTGCCTGGCCAGAGTTACAAAACTGTCCCACCAAAATACATCTCCTTGGTGTTCCATCGACTGTGCCCTGTGTTTATTACTTTTTGTTCCCCTGTACTCTCCAAGAACAAGAAGGTTTTTTTGTCTTCCTTAATTTTTGAACCCTCTGAATTAAACTGGAGGTTTTCTTACAGATTTAGCTATGGGAATATAATCAATTTTTTATTATTATTTATGCCAGGAATAGGTAATTAATCACTGGGGTTGTGAAGCCTTCATAGATCAGGACAGTGCTCAGCCCATCTTCTCAGCCCCCTTACAGTAGTTCTCTGAGGGCAAGTGCTTCTACAGGAGAAACGCTTTTTGGTTTCTTTATTCTTCTCTTTAAACCAAAGCATTTCCAAAATCAGCCCTTTTTTCTCCAAAGTGTGAGGCTAGAACACTGATTCTCCTAGCAGTAACTTCCTCTGGAGCAAACTCCCAAGCTGTGGGCACATCACCAAATAATTGGAGCGGTGTGCAAATTAATTAATCAGAAGCTGAAAATCAGAATCACACATACTGAACACAATAAAATAACTGATCTCTGAAAGACTGAATCCAGACTTCTTTCATTTTAGTTTTTTTGTGGTATGAAAATGCTTTTGCACTCACATTACTATTTTTTTTTTCCTGTCCCCTCATTATTATTTTTCAGCTTTCTCTGACACAGAGTGACATCAGCCATATTGGCTCCATGAAAGTAGAAGGCATCGTTCACCCCACAACTGCTGAAATAGATCTCAAGGAGGAAATAGGTGAGGCTCTGCTACAGGCAGAAAAAACAGATCTAGAGCTGGAACAGTAGCTGGTCTACTGGCTGCCTGCTGAGATCCCATCCTGTTTCATCTGAATCTTCCCCAGGCCATAAATATCATTTACAACACTTCTGAAAATCAGGCTGGATCTGACTAGGTATAACAGGCTAATCACTAATTTATCTCTTTTTTTTTTTAATGACGCCTTGTGACAAGCAAAACACAGATAATTGGTTGAAGCACGTGAGCAGCAAAGGTGTAAATAATCATTACTGCTGTCTTTTCTTGGATTATTTTTATGTTTGCCTCTGAAATTTCTCTTACAAAACTTATGCATTAATAGCACTGCTAATTATGCTTTTCAGTATAGGATATGACATAATTTAGAAATACTCATGTACAAAACCTTATCCTGCTCATGTGAAATAAGGAAATATTATCATTACAGATACAGAAATCGAAGCAGGAGGGAGGTAAAAAGCTATTAGTCCCTCACATAGGGGGGCACAGAATCTAGTAACAGGCTTTGGGATCATTGTTTTGTAGTCATCAAGACCTTCACTGGCATCTCAGCTGTGTTTGTTTCAGCAAGTAGTAGGGTTTGTATGCTGAACTGATTCTGAAGGCTGAAAATCTGAGTCCTGAAAATCCTCACTATTTTAGCCATAAATCAGAGTAAGATAGCTTTCTTGCAGATATTTATATTAAAGTCATTTCCAGTAATATAATAGAGGGCTCTTCAAAACCAATAAAAAGTAACTTTATCTGTGTCTAGGCACAGTGGCAAACATAAACATCAGCTGCTGCTGATAGAGGGAGACAGGATAATAAGTGTACAGTGTTCTTTTAAAGAATGCAGAGTTGTTTTTCCACGCTGATGCTCTGAAGCCAAGGCCTTTTGCTCCGTGTCCTTGCAGGCAAGGCGTTGGAAAAGGCTGGAGGAAAAGAGTTTTTAGAAACAGTGAAAGAGCTTCGCAAATCTCAAGGACCTTTGGAAGTTGCTGAAGGTAAAAAGGATACTGCAGTCTGCCTTGGACACAGCTCATTTCATATGTTCTTTTCTCTGGACATTCTGGTCTGTTCTGGATTATATATGTGCCTTTGCTTGTGTGATGTAAATGTTTCCTCTTCGAAGCTGCTGCTGATGTGAACAACCTGCTGAGGGGGCGAAAAAGGAGGAATAGGATACCTGTGTGCTGTGCACGTTCTGTCTTTGGGCTGATTAATTTCTCTTAGGCAACTTCTGTCTGCAGGAGCCCCAAAACTAAGAAAATCTTGTGCTGTCACCTATGTGCCATCTTTCCTGCTGTGTTTGTACTGATTTTCGGAAGAGCAATTGCTCAGGCACTACAGCTAAATTATTAGAAGAGCTCCCTGCAAGGGTTTAGTGCATCTGTAGCAGTGAATGGGTTGGGACTTGAGCTTGTGCTTTCCTTTGTGGACAAATTAAACCAGTTTATATGGATTAAAGGTGGCTGGAAGATGGATTACAGAAAGTTATAATATGTCTTATTTGACTTAGTATCTCAGTACTCAAGAAAGTAAATGCTTTAAATTGTCTCATTTTGGAAATTTTCTGAATGAGTAGCCTAGTTTTATAATCTCAAATGACAGGGAAATTTTTATACAAGATAATGTGCTTCACTTTCACATCTAATCAAATTTATCTGCCCTAAAATCAAAGTAAACTGCTTTTCTCTGTAATGGTGGACATGTGAATACATCAAAGTTTTTCATCCTTGGGCTAATTTCATCCTGCACAGCTAATATCAGAGAGTTTAACCTGAGATTCCCCAGACCCAGATTTCCAGTAGTTCTGATGGTCACAGTTACAACAAAAGCAAACTGATGCCATGCTGTGGACTCTGCAGGTCCTGGAGAAATATTAGGCTTTCTGAAAAATGAATCTGAGTTTCCTAATTGGACATAACTGGTGGGGACCTTCAACAAGCATCTTTGATTTTCTTGTCCTTATCTGAAATTACCCAGCTGTGTAAATATTACTCCCCAACACTCTGGAGCTGTAATATGATGGTGATGATGATGCAGGATGTTTGTACAAAGCATTGGGTGACAGCACTGCAGAAATGTCTGTTGGGGGATTAGCACTGCCGTGTTCAGGGCAAGGTTTCGGTACTCTGCATAAAAAAAACTCAGAAGCCATGCTGAATGAGAGAGCTGAAAACCATTACTGAATAACTGTGTGCTAACCAAATGAGCCCTGGGTTCTTTGGTCTCCAAAGAAATAACCATTGATCACAAAGGTAATGATGAGACAGTCAGATTATGATTGCGAGCGAGCCACTGTGGCGCGTCATAATTCCAAATGTAGTTCTTTGGAGAGGTGATGTAATTAAGAAGTGCATTGGGTTGAGAGGTCAGCGCAGGGTGGTTCCTGTTCGACACTAAATGTTACGTTTCCGTTTGTGTTAGCTGCACTCACTCAGTCTAGCGGCCTAGCAGCAAAGTTTGTCATCCACTGTCACATCCCACAGTGGGGCTCGGACAAGTGTGAAGAGCAGCTCGAGGAGACTGTCAAGAACTGCTTAACAGCTGCAGAAGACAAGAAGTTGAAGTCCGTGGCGTTCCCCCCGTTTCCCAGCGGCAGGTAGGACTCTGGCTGCACAGGAGGGTTCTGTGTCAGGGAGCAGTGGTGTAATTAGCTGTCAGAGAGCTGCTGCTGGGGCAGAGAGGTGCCCTCTGCTCTGTGACCCTGCCTCTGCCCCTGCCATCCGACACCGTGCTGCTCCGGGGGAAACCAGCCTCGAGGGCAGCGCTGGCAGGACGCTGCCAGAAAGCCTTTGTGAAGAGAAATTAGCCACCTCACAGGAGAGCTGAGTGGGCTTGCTGTGTTTTGTATTGCTGGGCACTCATTTTCATTCCTCTGCTACGGGCCTACACCCCCTCAGGTCCCTTTGTTTGGCTGTAGGGGTCTTATTAAAACTGCATCTGTACTAATAAGGTTATACCAGCATAATACTGAGGGCAGGTAACAGGGATGCAACCTGAGGTAGGTAAGTAGGTGTGGGGTGCTCACTTAAGTCACCCTGGCAATATAGATTAAACAGACTAGTCACACAAAATCTCTTTTTTCAAAAGAAAATGTTTCTCAAATGTATATTTGCTTTAAAAAGGGAACTATGAAACTAGCTGTGAAGCTACGTGTTTCTGTCTCAGTGACTAGCAAACAAAATGTGGTTGACTAAGAAATCCAAAGTATTTATCTTTTTCTTTTTTTTTTCTTTTTAACTTCTTTTTAAACCAACAGTTTGTTGGTCTCTGATCACAAGAAACGTTAGACAAGCCCTGCTAACTGCAGAACTTGTTCTTCTGTGTTAGAGTTCGAAGGCTTATATTTGATTTGAAATGTATCTGCTGGTTTTGGTAGTAGGGCCCGAAGAGTAGAGTACATAGTACAGTCCAGTTGTGTTGGCCTGACAGTGAGTAAAATGAAAGTAAAACTGTGTTTTGATCAGTGGAATCACCCCACATCACTGAATAGACAGGAGGTGAAAGTGCTATTTTTACACAGACAATTTTCAAAGCAGAATAATATTTTTATGAATCAGGACAAAAGAATAAATAGAGGGGCAGTGCAATATTTAGTGATTTTTTTTTTTATATACAGATCTTTTTGTTTATGGTTTTCAGTCAGAGCAGATAGTGATAATTTTTTTTAACACTCTTTAATAATAAAGAGCACCTTTCAAAAATGAACTGTAGCTTTTAATGCCAATAGAAATAGTTTTGAGACCTCTTGTCTTCTGTTAGCATAGAATTAGAATAATCCAGTCTTGGACCATTAGTCTTGATGGAGATCCTTCTGCTGCTTTGTTCCATGTCACTCTCTGTTGCTCTTACAATTAGTCCTGCTAACAGAAAATAGAATAAATCTTACCACGTGGTAAGATTTATCAAAGGACCTCAAAATTTTCTGAAAAAAGGGAAGAATTTTTCAAATCGGACTTAATGACTTTGTTTTCGTTTTGTTCTCCCTACATGTCTGCACAGGAAATACTGGTTTTGTGAGTAGATCACGAATTATGCTGCATCAGTCCTGTGAATTTTTTACATATTCCTCTGTCCCATCCTAGGGACTGTTTGCAGTAACTGATGTAACACTACAATAGATGGGATATTTCAGTTGAGCCAGATCTTTTTGATGGTTTTCAGTATAAGTATGAGAGGTAGTCTGAAATCACTCACATAAAACTGAGTAAAGAGAAGTGAGAAGTACTAAATGTAGAAAGTGAAATACAAAACACATGCAAATGTTACCAAAAAGGAGGGGGGGGGGAAAGGAAAAAACACTGCAAAGGCAGTTCTGGATGCTATTAGAAGAAATACTGTAATCTCTCAAGTGTAAGGATTGTTAGGCACTGGAATGGCTTATCTGTGTATTCTGCTGTAGCCCCATCAAAGATCTGTAAGTATAAGTTAGACAGACCTTTTTTCAGAGCACAAAAGTTTTATATGTAATCCTATCCCAGAGGAAGGGCACGGCCTAGGTTGTGCTGACCAACTATTTTTGGCGTGGATCAAAATTCCTCTGGAGCATTATCATGCAGCAGAATCTAAATAGGAATTAAAAAGCCCACATACTGGAACAACCGGTAGCTTTTAGCTGTTCAGATTGTAGGTTAGAGAATATTACCATCAAAATGAGTGAATGAGTGTGTCTTGAGCTTAATTTGGCTTGGAGCTGTAATTTCAATTATTTTCACAGGAGTCCCAAGCAAAGTATTTTTAATGACAGAGTGAGGAAGTCAGCTAAGTAGGTGATGTTTTGGTTTTTGGTTTTGTTTTTTTTTCAGTTTTCAGCTAGAAAACATAATCATCCTTTGAACTTTCTAGCCTGTCCAGCATGGCATGGAAAAGTTTAATTCTAAGGGGGGGGAGCATTAAAAAAACCTTTGTGTGGTTATAAAAAGGAGAAGCAACTGAAAACAGCAGCTGTGCCAGCAAGGAGACTGATATAGCAGCAGGTGAATACTGCTATCAAAACCTTGGGGTTTGCTTCTGGATTTGCCAGACTGCGACTGGCACTGTCTTGGCAGCAGCGCTGGCTGGTTGTTCTCAGCATCACCTGTACCCAGTGCCTGCCCTGTGACACTCACCTGTGCTCTTCTCTTCCCCTCCCACACAGAAACTGCTTCCCAAAACAGACAGCAGCCCAGGTGACTCTCAGAGCTATTTCCACCCATTTTGATGGCACCAGCTCTTCCTCCTTGAAGAACATTTACTTCCTGCTCTTCGACAGTGAAAGCATCGGCATCTACGTGCAAGAAATGGCCAAGCTAGACACCAAGTAGCAGTGGCAGCCAAATGAAACTTTATTTTTCAACAAACTTGAGTAGCATTAAAAGCATTAGAGGTGGGTTTTATTTTTTCAATGTGATGAGGAGGGGGAGTGGTAGTAGTGTGATGTGTTGTGACTTGATGAAGAGCTGTGACTAGAGATGAGAGGGGTTTAGTCCGATTTCTTCATGCTATCAGCATCCTCTAGCAATTTCTATCACCTTAAGCAATTGAGTTACCATCTGTTTTTGGGAGTTTAGTGTCCCTTGGTACTTTAGTTTAGGAGTTTTGAAAGAGTAACCTCATTTTAGATTTGTAGTGATGATTTCTCCACACACACCACTTTAAAGAAAGCTCTTAAAAATGTTCTGCTCCCTTTTCCCCTCCCTTGAGGGTAGATGGTAAACTGCCTTCAGCCCACAGAGAGAGGGGAAAAGGATTTTAGAAGTGATGCATGAGAAGCTTCTGTTTTGCTTTTAACTCACAATAACCTCTGTAATTACTGAGAATATTTCATGCTGATTTTGTTTGTTTTATAAGAAAAAAAATGTGTCAAGCGTGGTTATTGTTATAATCCCTAATTTTGTTCTGGAAATTTCTCACCTTAAAAAAAAAAAAAAAAAAGAAAGCAGCATCAACTCTAATTAAGTACTTGCTGTATCACAACAGCAGTTTTTCTGGCTGAAGTGTAATGCTATAAGTGACGTGATCAAAACATCTGTGGTGATTTTGACACAAAGCTGCATTAATACATTATATGCATTATATAGATATATTATAATATATATAATATATTATATATGTAATAATATAATAATATATAATATATATATAATATGTAATAATATAATAACATATTATTATAGGAATATATATATATATTCCTGTCGAATCCCAGGATTACATTAGCCCCTCCCAGGTTTTAGGCAGGCTTTTCCCTGGCAGCACTGAGAGCCATTCTCCCTGCATGCTGCAGGACAGATTCCAGATCTGTAAGAGGCAGGTACTTTTTAGAAGAGCAAGAATAGAGAAAGCCAGGGAAAAAAGAAAACCCACATAACAAATAAAACACAGAGATTCTGAAAACCACAGTGTTTATTGTTACAAATCAAGGTAAGCCAAGCTTCTTGCTCAGAGATATCTCAGCAGGGGAGTAAAAGAGACATTCCTTCCCTGGTTTTTATCATGGGAACTTCTGTGCAAATTGTTTGGGAAGTGCTTCGTTCCCCTTTAGAGCAAGGCAGGGCGCTCTGTTAATGTGGCACGGGTGGTCGAGGAGGTGCTGCAGGAGACAGCACCAGCCAGTCCAAGCAACAGGAGTGCACCTCACCCTCCAGTGGCTGTTTTCCTTGCTGGCTTGTTCCTGGTGTCCTCCTAAGAGGGCATTGTCTGTCCCATTGCCTTCCAGCTCTTGGAGACGCACAGGTCCCGGCTCTTGGCAATGGTCACCAAGAGACGTCCCACGTAGTACCCGTTCACCTGGCCCACACCATCGTTCCTGCCCATGGACAGCAGGAATGATAGTGACCCTGGAAAGAAGATGTAGAGGCTTAAGTTAAGCAACTGCTGTCCAGATTCGCTGCACCCATGTGGAACAGCTCTCGACACAGCTATGGTTAGTGATCAGTGTCCTCTGATCAGTGTCCTATGCAAGTTGAACAGCTGTTCCTTGCAGCAAAGCAGCCCAACACCTAAGGCCAGGAGCTAGGAGATGACCTTACCTGGCTCGTAGGTTTTAAGAGGCTTCTGTGTGAGGCTGTTGATGATGTTTGTCACCACGATGTTGGCGTGGAGCCCGGCATGGTAGGCCATCTTGGGCTCTTTGAGATCTGCACAGTCTCCAATGGCGTAGATGTTCTCATAGCCTTCCACCTGGAGGTGCTTGTTCACTTTCAAAGCACCATTACTTGCCATTTTGTCACCTGTTTTGCCAAACAGCAGGTTTTTATAAGCAGCTTTGTGTTGCTTCTTGTGGCCCAAGACTCCAAAATGCTGCTGATGTTATTGACACAAAGTAAGGAGCTGGCTTTTCACCCTCTTTTCTATGTGTCAGGGAAGAGATGCTTTTTGCCTTGCTGTGGTTAATCATTGCAGTCTCATGCAGTGCATCATCCTTTGATATTTCAGTAGAATATCCCCTGCTGGTCGTATACAGTTCATTCCTAACCTCACACCCCTCAAGCAAAAGACACTGAAGAGCTGTGCTGGTTCCCCCACCCAGTGTTTTTTTTTTTCACTTACCAAATGCAGCAGCATACGCTGAAGAGTTAATCTTTATCCCCGTGCACAGCACCACCATGTCAGCAACCACCTCGGTGCCCTTTTCTGTCCTCACCACCATGTCCTTCTGGAACTGGTTTGGCGTGAGGTTTTCCACATCCCTGACCCTTTCACCTGTTGCAACAGAGAGTCCTGGGTCACAAACCTTTGCTAAGCTGCCGTTTCCAGCTAGCACAGAGGAACAGGAATCCAAGGGAGTCACACTTTGTCAGAAAGAGGACATCAGGAGATGCTTTGGCTAAAGGAAGAGCAGCCCATAGATCCTCAGAGGCATTGTTAAGTACGTACTTAGCAGGAGCCGCACTCCTTTCCTGAGGAGAATCTCCTTGACCTCCTGACGGACGCTGGCAAGCAGCTCCACATCAGCCAGGGCAGGTTTGGAGTGCATGAGGATGACCTGTTGGGGACAGAACAGCAAACGGGGACACAGGAGTGGGACAGGACTCACTACATGCCATGTGGGAGCAGCTGTAGCTGGCTTCCCCCTCCCTGCAAGGAGAGTGAGCCAAGGAGAGGCTTTTAGTGCCAGTTGCTGCTGGTGGCAGGCCAGAGGGTGCTCTCAGTAACTCCTGATGTGCAGTCATCTTGGATACCTCCAGCAGCACCATCACAGAACAGTCTCAGAGAACAGGATGAAGTTCTTTGTAACCGAGATGCTCCTACCTCTTTGGCTGGGTACTCCGTTTTGATCTCAGCAGCCATCTCAGCTCCAGCAGAACCACCTCCCACTACCAGGATGCGCCCAGATTTCTCAACCTTGAAGAGGCAACTCGTGTTAAATAGAACTGCAAAAGGTCTGGTGCCTTCAGCCACTCTGTGAACGTTCTGAGGCGCAGCACAGGCCCAACAGCAACAAACCACTTAGTTCGTTAAGAGGAAACAAAAAGCGAGAACCCCGTGCTCTCCTCCTGCCTGCACTGTAACACTGTTGAGCATTTCAGGTTTCCCCTTGCGCAGAATGCTAGACAAGCCTTGATGAGCTCCTTGTCCTGGCCTGTCCCTATAGGCATTTTATTGTGGCCTCTTGTTCTAGGACACAGATGGCTACAGATATCCACAGTGCTGCCTGGGACAGGTAGGCTGAACAAAGGCAGGCAGCACCTACTAGGAAATAAGTTGATTCCTCACCTCTTTAACCATGTCTTCATAGGTCTGGATGGCGCTTTCCATGTCAATAACTTTGTTGAACTTGCCAGGGAAGGGCCCATCACTGCCTGTTGCAAGAATGAGATGGGAGTAGTGAAGCTCCTGGGAGGGGAGAAAGTGGAATGGGACGTTAGACCTCTTGAAAACGGAGCCTAGGACACAGTGGTTGCCTCCTAGGCTCTAGTCACTCATTGCCTCTTCTCCAGCCCTTCCTGGTAACTAGGAAAGTGCTTGTTATTGTCAGGAAGTGACTTTAGGAGGAGACCTGGTCCAGGTGACACCAAGTAACTGCCGTTCTCAGGGTCTGAGAGAAGCACCATTCAGGTGAGCTGAGAGCTTTAAAGAAATTACCATAAGTTTACAGGGTAAAGTTATGTTTATTTTACACTTTGTGTTTAACTTATGTGTTATTTATGCTGGACGGTCACAGCTGGCTCCAGAGCATAGCATCTCTCCTTCACCCTCTTCTGAACAGAGGTGGGATGCTCTGGCTGGAAAGAGTGACTGGAGCTGCTGCCCTTGTCTCTTCCTGCAGTTAAATTAGGGTCTGAGCTCCAGGGTTAACTGCTGAGCTCTAAATCCAGCTCTAAGAATAAAAGCTCGTCTGAGCAGGAGATGGGATGGGGTATTTACTGCACACCCACATCCCACACAGCTCTAGGCCACTCAGCTTGGCTGGAAGGGATGGTGCCATGCAGGGAATGACGGGGGCTGTTGCCCTGCTCCTCAGGATGGTGAAAACACCACCTGACTCTCTGCACTAGCAGGTGATCCCATAAGGCAGCCAGGTCATTGCAACACCCACCTCACCGTCACCGAGCAGGACTTGTTGCCTCCCAGGGTCTATGCCCACAACCTTGCCTTGTCGGAAGCTGTCCCCAAAAGTGATGGAGTAGGAGATGAAAGTCTTCTTGGCAAATCCTGTGGTAAGAGGAGACAGCAGAGAAGAGCTCTCCCTCAGTGGAGGCTAAACCCCTCCTCCCTTCTGCCCTCATGCCATCCTTGCTCAGACAAAAGCACAGCATATACCTGGGACCCTGGGTTGTGCTGTGTGCTATCTCTGCCCAGCAATGAGCTCCAGGACCTTGGCCTCCTGGTGATAAGATCAGCTCCTCAGGTGATGCCCTTGCTTTGTCTCTGCTCCCCATATCTCCTGTACTGGTTTGCCAGTAAGTGCTTCTGCGGTCTCAGGAATTTTGGGCTGGGTGTCAGAGGCTTTTTTCATGTTATCTGCCTCTCAGACCAAGTTTTTGCCATCCTTTTGATGCTTGTTCACAGCCTTGAACATGAGATTTTCCCCCTAAACCCCAGTGGCTGGAGAAATGGGGTTAGCCCAGCCTCCCAAGTGAGATTCCAGACAAGCCTGAGTAGCTCTCCAACATGATTTCATCATCCAGGGCCTCACTGCTGAGCTGCTCGACATCTCAAGGGCCAGATACAGAGAGTGATTCATTCAGCCCTTCCAGCTGCTGCTGCTTTTAGCTTAGTCACCTACTAAACTCTTGAAATAAACACAAAGGGATCGTCTGAATAGTTTTTGCCCAGTTTTCCCGGCGGATCTGCAATTAAGTTAACACAGACGGGCCGTGGGTCCTCCCGGAGCCAAGTACTTGTTTTCCAGACGGAAAACATCAAGCCTCTCAGCTCGGCGGGGGCGGAGGAGGCAGTGCGAGCACCCCGTTCCCTGCCGCTCGAGGGTAGCTCCGCAGCCCCCGGTGGGACAGGGGAGCTGCCGCGGGGGTCCGGGGTGGGCTGAGCCCTTACCGCTCTCCACGGCGGCCCGGAGCGCGGCCACGTTGTGGTGGAAAGCATCCCTCACGTCCACCAGCACGAAGGGCACGGCCCAGGACTTGAGCAGGCTGGCGGCCGCCGTCCCCCCGAAGCCGCCCCCGACCACGACCACCCGCACGGAGTCGTCCAGGGACAGGCGGGACCCCATCGCGGGCAGGGCAGCGCCGGGCTCTGCGGGAGCGGAGCGCAGGAGCGGAGCGCAGGGGTTGTCCCGGGGGGAACACGGCCTTCCCGGGCGGAGCTGCGGGGCGGAGCCGGGCTCCCGGGCGCTGAGCCCGGCCTCCAAACCTTGGCTCAGCCGGGCGGGGGGTGCCCTGCCAGGCGAGTGCCG